CGAAAATATAGGGTGTAACAGCGATATCGCAGGTGCGAGTCTTGTTCCACTTCCGCGCTAAATAATGCTTCTGCGCAACTGGCCATCACTTCTGCGAGGCCGCAGATGCGCCCCAAGCTCCACATCTGCGATGACTCCAAACTCATACCCTTTCCGCAGGTGTGATCACATCTCTGCTTCTGTGACCACTGCACCTACGCAAAACTAACCACAGGTGCGCAACACTAGAACCAGCACTTCCTCAGCAATGCAACATGAGACAAAAAGATCTGAACCGCATCCGTAACTCACCCCGGGCCCCTCGAGACCCCGTCCGAATATACCAACAAGTCCTAAAACATAACACAAACCTACTCAAGTCCTCAAATCACACATAACAACATCGAAACGATGAATCACACCTCAAATCAAACTTAAATGAACTTTGAACTTTGAACTTACAAAACTCGCGTCGAAACATAACAAATCAACTCGGAATGAACTCAAATTTTGCATACAAGTCCTAAATAACATAACAAAGCTATTCCAATTCCCAGAACCACAATCCGAATTCGATATATACAAATTCAACTCGTGGTCAAACTTATGAATTTTTCAAACCTCCAAATTTTTGATTTTCGCCAATTATTGTCGAATCCTTCTAGAAATATCCAAATGCAAATCTGGACATACGCCCGAGTCCAAAATCACCATCCAGGCCTAACGGAACCATCAGAACTCCGTTCTGGGATCAAATTCACAAAAATCAAACTTAATCACCTCTTCCAACTTAAAGCTTCAACAATGAAATTCACTCTTCTGAAAAACCTCAAAACCAAAACCAACGATTTGCACAAGTCATAATACATCATACGGATCTACTCATGCCCTCAAACTACCGAGCAAAGTGCAATTGCTCAAAATAACTGATCGGGTCATTACAATATGGGACAGCCCAAAAGCCATATAAAAAGCAGAATAAAGACAATAAGATAATAAGGTGATCACAATGAAAGAAAACAACGGTTAGTCAATAAAAAACTAATACCAATAGAAAGCAAGATTGCGTGTCGATACTACTGTTAAGAACACTCTAGACTACCTACTCTACTACCCTAATCCTCAACCTCCATACTTTTCTATCAAGGGTCATGTCCTCGGTCAGCTGAAGTTGCGCCATGTCTTGCCTAATCACCTCTCCCCGCCTCTTCTTTGGCCTACCTCTACCTTTCCGTAGGNATAAAGACAATAAGATAATAAGGTGATCACAATGAAAGAAAACAACGGTTAGTCAATAAAAAACTAATACCAATAGAAAGCAAGATTGCGTGTCGATACTACTGTTAAGAACACTCTAGACTACCTACTCTACTACCCTAATCCTCAACCTCCATACTTTTCTATCAAGGGTCATGTCCTCGGTCAGCTGAAGTTGCGCCATGTCTTGCCTAATCACCTCTCCCCGCCTCTTCTTTGGCCTACCTCTACCTTTTCTAAGGCCCTCCAATGTCAACCTCTCACATCTTCTCACCAGGGCATCTGTGCTCCTCTTCCTCACATGACCAAACCACCTAAGTCGCGCTTCCCACATCTTGTCCTCAATAGGGGACACACCCACCTTGTCGCGAATAACCTCATTTCTAATCCTATCTAACCCGGTGTGTCCGCATAGCCATCTCAACATCCTCATCTCTGCTACCTTCATCTTCTGGACATGAGCGATATTGACTGGCCAACACTCAGTCTTATACAACATCGTCGGTCTGACAACCACTCTGTAGAACTTACCTTTAAGTTTTGGTGGCACATTCTTGTCACACAAACACCGAAAGTGAGTCTCCATTTCATCCATCCCGCCCCAATACGATGTGTGATATCTTCATCAATCTCCCCATCTCCCTGAATAATAGACCCAAGGTACTTAAAACTTCTTCTCCTAGGGATGACCTGCGAGTCCAGCCTCACCTCCACTTCCCCTCCTTGAGTCTCACCACTGAACTTACGCTCCAAGTATTATGTCTTGGTCCTGCTCAACTTGAAACCTTTAGACTCCAAGGTCTGCCTCCATACCTCTAACTGCGTGTTCACACCGCCTCGTATTTTGTCAATCAATACAATATCATCTACAAATAGCATGCACTACGTCACCTCCCCAGAGATGTGGTGCGTCAGTACGTCCATCGCTAGGGAAAACAAAAAAGGGCTGAGTCCCGACCCCTGATGCAACCCCATCATAATCGAGAAATAGTCCGAGTCCCCACCCACTATCCTCACTCAGGTCTTTGCTCCATCATACATGTCCTTAATCACCCTAACGTAGGCAACAGGTACACCTCTCACCTCCAAATATCTCCACAAAACCTCCCTCGGAACTTTATCATATGCCTTTTTTAAGTCGATGAACACCATATGCAAGTCCTTATTCCTCTCTCTATACTACTCCATCAATCTCCTAACATGGATGGCTTCTGTAGTTGAACACCTCGGCATAAACCCGAACTGGTTCTCGAAAATAGACACACTCCTCCCCACCCTCAGCTCTACCACTCTCTCCCAAACTTTCATAGTATGACTAAGCAGCTTGATACCTCGATAGTTATTGCAATTTTGGATATCACCCTTGTTCTTGTATACATGAACCATCATGCTCCACCTCCACTCTTTAGGCATCTTCTTCATTCTAAAAATGACATTAAATACCCCAGTGAGCCACTCAAGCATGACTTGCCCCCACTCTTCCAAAACTCCACTAGGATTTCATCCGGCCCGGTCGCTTTGTCCCTGTTCATCTTATGCATAAGCCCCTCCACTTCATCAAATCTAATCCGCCTACAATACCCAAAATCACAACGACTCCCAGAGAGTTCCAAATCACCCAGTACAATGCTCATGTCCCCTTGCTCGTTCAAGAGACTATGGAAGTAGGTCTTCCATCTTCGATGGATAAGCCCTTCATCCAGCAAAACTCTACCTTCTTCGTCCTTGATGCACTTCACTTGGACCAAGTCACGAGCATTCCGTTCTCGCACCTTGGCTAACTTGAACAACCTCTTATCCCCACCTCGGCCCTCGAGTTCCTCATACAAACAACTAAAAGCTGCAGTCTTGGCCGCCGTAACTGCTAAGACTGCAACTTTTAGTATAAATCATATACAAAAGACATATTGTATAAAATTTATATGAAAATTGTAGTTAAGTTGTATGATGTTGTAGTCAGTGGCGGAGCCAGAATTTTCATCAAGGGATGTCAAAATATAAATAGTTAGATATATCGAAAAGTCAAGGGGAGTCAACATATAGTAAATATACATAAAATTAAAAAAAATTATCCAGCAATATAGTATAATTTTTCGGCGAAGGGGTGTCGCTTAACACCCCTTGGTTCAATGTGGCCCGCCACTGGTTGTCGTTGTATTTAACTGGGTAAGAATGATATATGAAAGTTGTAAATAAGGTGTATATTGTATAACTAGTTGTATGAAATTTGTTTTTAGTATGTATGTTGTTGTAGATATATCATATTTGTATTAAATTTGTATAAAATTTATTTTAAATTTATATGTTATTGTACCGTACATTATTCTTTTCTTACTCAATTTGTTAAAGAAAGAAAAGTAGAGAATAAATTTCAAATTGATTCATATGTAGTGACTCATGTTTGTTTAAAGTGAAAAACTTGAATATTATAGCAGCAATAGTGACTGATAATGGCAATCCATCCATAAGTAACTTATTTGATTGCACATTCTAAATTAACTATTAGCGTAAAGTTATTTTTATAAATTTTTGGAGTTGCACTACAATATGCTGCTTCGAACTTGCTATTCTGATTCTTGATGATGGCCCTGAAGTTGGAAATTATGGAAGTGACGACCTGTCATTGGCACAATTTGAAAATGAAGAAGTGATATTGGTTTTTATTTTGGAGGGAGGTGGCAAAGAGAGAGAAGAGTTGCGCTAATTATGGCTTAAAATAGGTAATACACAACTCGAAGTAGTCTTATTGAAAGAGGAGTGGAGAGAAAATAGGAAAATGATGTAACTAAATCACCTAATTTAAGGCACTAATGATGGATTATATATAATTTGTAAGTAATCCTTGTATAGGATAGATAATATACAAACTTAGGATAATATTGGTAAATAAGTCTTAAATCCTACAGCAATTCAGTAGAAATCTCGAACTGGATTTTTAGGAGTCCATCAAACAGGCCAGCAAAGTGAAAGACCTCGGCCCAAGAGACTTTAAGTTGAATTAGGAAGGGAGTTTAGTTTTGCTTCACATAAATATATAGTGTTTTAGATCACTCGTTTATTACAAATAACACTAAAATATGGAGTATCAAATAACAATAGTTAGAGGGTGTTTGGCAAAGCCAATAAGTTGGTCAAACTGGCTTATAAGCACTTTTCGGCTTATCTACGCGTTTGGTAAAATTAAAAGTGCTTATAAGTCAAGTGTTTATAAGCCAAAAATAAGCCAAAAACCATAAGTTGGTCTCCCCCAACTTATCAAATTTCAGCTTATAAGCACTTTAGGTTTGACCAAAATATTTACTATTCTATCCCTAAAATACTTCTTTTAAAACAAAACTCCTCGTATAATTTCACTATCTCCCAGTTCTTCAAAACCTAAACAGCTCGTGCCTCTACAATTCTTTAGATTTCTGTCGGCAATTTGAGGTAACGAAATTCACTTGTCTTCTGCATATTGTTATACCTATGTGACTTGTATTAACTGTTAGCCTCAAGTAAGAGAATCCTACTCTTTTAGTTGTATATTTTTACGTGGATGAAAACAAAACTAGACTTTAGTTTTGTTTTCATGTGTTCTCTTATTTTTGATAACCAAGTAATAAAAGGGGATGAAAGCAACAATACCCTATAGAGTATAACATATATACTTAGAGAAAAGACAATATCGAATTCACTAAAAAAACTGTCAATTTGCGACAGTTTTATTGAGGAGGTTAATAGTAACTCCGTAAATTGGATGCCATTACGACGGTCAGTCTAACCCCTTCAATTTAAAATGCAATTTGCGACAGAATTTTAAGAACGTACTAGTACTAAGGCGGGATCCTTTCATTTTCCCCAATCCAAAACCTTTGCCCCCTTTTTCCTTCCCGCCAAACCCTTTTCTAAACACACCTTGCTCGTCCAGAAATTTCCTCTCTGTTTTCTCTCTCTAAAGGTGTGCTTTTTGTTTTTGAAGTCTGTGATTTCTAAGAGATAGGGTTCTTGGGAAGACAGCACAAACTAGCGGAAGGGTCTAATTATGGAGAAAATAGCCGAAATTATCACTAGAATGACCATTCTTCATCATCTGCTTCCGATTCTAGGGTTGAGAAGAAAACAAATTCATCGTAGCCGTTATTCAAGTTTAGGAATAGTTGGCTTTTCGAGAGCAGCCTATTCAAAAGTTCTTCGGTAGCGGTAAATGGTGAGTTTACTCTTTCATTTGCGCGTACCTTGTTTCTCTACATTCAGTATAATTTGTTTCATCTCCTTTAGTGATTAAATAATTAGGATTTCTATATGTCTCTAGATCTTTTCAAGTTTTGATTTTTCTGAGGGCTTCTTGGTGGTCGCTCTTCTTTGATAGTTGTTTATCTTAGGTAAATATGTGATTATCTGGAGTGCTTGTAATTTTAATTGATGTAGCTTTAATCATAGTTACTGAGATAAAAAGTTCAATGAACACCAGCAATGCAATCATATATTTCTAAAATCAAAAGCTTTTAGGAAAAAGGCCAGTTTCCTTTCTAATTTGTTTCGTCGTAGCAATAGAACTTTTGACAAACTTGTGGTTGTATGGACTAAATAAGGGAGATGATGATAAGTGATAATAAGTGAATTTCTCTATAGCAATATGTAGAATCAAAGAGGAAGCCTTCGTCTTATATTCATACTTTATTCCTGGATACTAAGTGAATATATTCTTTTTGACATTTTCTCTGGAGAAGGATTTGTATCTACTAGTTCTCCTCTGTTTCAGTTTTGTTGCAACCACGTTCCTCTGTTAATTTTTCTCGTCTAGCATTCTATACTAATTAAACTTAAAATAGGCACATGAGAAAGTTGTTTGTGATACAGCACCAGCAATATCAACAAAGTTAGATTTCATAAGACATATTCTGATCAAAAGGATCCACAGAAATGCAGTCAATATGTTCTTGAGATATATAACAATTTGCGGGTTGCAGAGGTCTGGTGAATTGATATTCATGTATATTTCCTTCAAACTTTCCTTTAAGAGTATTGTACTCTTCTCAACTACTCTTCCTAATAATCTTCTGGATCCATGTATCAGGATCCTACATAATCTCCCTTTAGTTGTTCCAGTTCGGAGGATAGACTAAGAAGCCCCTACTGTCTATCAGCATGGAGTTTATATTAGTGTAAAGGACAATATGCTGGTGTAAGGAAATATTTGATCTTCCAAAATACTATGGAGAACTGATTTTCTATTTACAATTGCTAAATATTATAATCATCTGGTCTTTTTTTCTTGTATGATTGTTGTAGAGAAAGGATGTGAAGTATGATAATCAGTCCTCACTTTCACCGTGTGCATTATCTATATTTGCATTGTCACTGTAGGAGGAAGTGTAAGATGCATAAAATAAGAAAAAACAAGACTCTTTAGGATGAAGAAAGGGTCAGAAAAAAGTAAATTTTAACAATGTTATTATCTGGTTCTTGCTATGAATATCTGTCTTGTTTATCAGTAAGTTTGTAGTGATTCGAAACACTAGAGTAATGATATTAATGATATTAATAATATTTTTGTGATGATCCAAAATATCATCTTTAAATTTAATAAGTAATTTTGTATTCTAAGACCTCGAAAAGTACTATTTATCATTCCTCGACTTGCGTGCACAGTCTATAAAATTTTCCAAAAAGTTTTTATGTGAAAAATAGATTAAAATGTGAAATAGAGCTTTAAAACTCAATTGAGTTGACTTTGGTCAACATTTTGAGCAAACGGACTCGGATTGATATTTTGACAATTCTGGTAGGTCCGTATCGTGATTTGGGACGTGGGCGTATGCCCGGAATCGAATTCTGAGGTCCCTAGCCTAAGATATGGAATTTTGATGAAAAATTAAAAGCTTGACAGCTTAATAAATTTTTAGAAATTACTGATGTTGGATTTATTGACCTCGGGTCCGTATTTTGGTTACGGAACCCGGTATATGTCCACCATAATATTTATGACTTGTATGCTGAATTTGGTAGGAATCGGAGTTGATTTGACGTGATTCGGACGTCCGGTTGTGAAAATATAAGTTTTAAAGATTTCTTGAAAACTTCCTTTGAGTTGGTGTCCGATTCGTAGTTTTAGGTGTTATTTTGGCGATTTGATCATGCGAGCAAGTTCATATGATACTTTAGGATTTTGGTGCATGTTTGGTTTGGAGCCCCGAGGGCTCGGGTTGATTTCGGGTGGTTAAAGGATCATTGTTGGACTTGAGAAAACTACAGAAATCTGTTTCTGGTTTCCCTCTTTCCGTTCAGGGGAGTCTCACGTTCGCGAAGAGGAAATTTGGACTGGCACTTTTTGTGCTTCGCATTCGCGACTAAGGGAACGCGTTCGCGAAGGGTCGAGGTGAAAAGCTTCGCGTTCGTGATCGAATCCCCGCGTTCGCGAAGGGAAAGAGACTGGCCAGAAAAATTAGCCTTCGCGTTCGCGAAGGGCATCTCGCCTTCACGTAGGCCAAGCCAGGCAAGCATCGCGTTCGCGAGGCAGCCCTCGCATTCGCGAAGAGTAAAAATTGGACAGCACAAATTTGTGCTTCGCGAACGCGAGGCACTGACCGCGTTCGCGAAGGGTAAAAGTTCCTGAAACAGAACTTAAGTTCTGAAAAATGAGAGTCGTCCCATTTTCAACCCTTTTCTATTTTTGAGCTCGGGTAATGCGAGTTTTGGGCGATTTTTACGGAAACATATTGGGGTAAGTGTTCATTATCCTATATTGATTATATTTCATGATTCCATACTCGTTTATATCATGAATCCGTGAATTTATGGAAGAAAAATCAGATTTTTCTAAAATCTTCCAAAAACAAAAATTTAAGATATGAAGGTTTATTTGATATCGGAATTTGATAAATTTTGTATGGTTGAACTCGTATCGGAACGGGTATTCGAATTTCGTGAGTTTTTCGAGGTTTGAAACGTGGGTACCACTGTCAAATATTTTAATGAATTTCGGATTTTTATCCGAAAAATTAGTAAATTCATATGTAATTAATTCCTATGATTCATATTGAATATATCGAACTGTTTGTGAATAGATTTGAAGCTTTTGGAGACAAATTTAAAAGAAAAAGTTGTGGTTGAGTAATTGATTGGAATTTGCAAAGCGAGGTAAGTGTCGTGGTTAACCTTGACTTGAGGGAATAGAACCCTTAAATTATTTGTTATGTGAATTACATGTGAACGACATATAGGCAAAGTGACGAGTGTCTATACGTCGTCGAATTAATTGTTTGTATATCTATTTGAAAATCATAATCATTTTAAATCATGAATGAATTATTATATTAATTGTTTCACTCATAATTCCTTGTCAAATATTAATTCTTGAATTTCTGTAATAATTGCTACATCCTTATTTGAATTATGTGCATTAATTGCTACTTGACATTTAGTATATTAAATAATAAGCTGCCTGTTTTCTCCCTGATTTCCATAATAATTTGCTATTTGTCATTGTTTGTTTCATAATTATTGTATGCTTGTTGTCTTGTAATTTTATATTAATTGTTGCATTAATTGGGGAAAATTTCTTCTATAAGAATTGATTGAAATGGATATATTGGAGGATCGGGTTGCACGCCGCAACAGACTTATTAAAAGTTCATATTGGAGGATCGGGTTGCACGCCACAACAGACTTATTAAAAGTTCATATTGGAGGATTGGGTTGCACGCCGCAACAAACTTATTTAAAAGTCGATATATATATATATTGGGGGATCTGGTTGCACGCCGCAATAGACTTGATTAAAATGAATATATTAGAGGAGCAGGTTGCACGCCGCAACAGAATTGAATGTGAATATGTTGTGAGAGCGGGTTGCACGCTGCAACGGAAATTGATGGAAATGATAATTGGTTATGACTGCTGAGTTGGCTTCAATTATTATAAATGAGTTACTTGATTTATTTCTATTATTTATTGTTGTTACTAATATTGCGTACAGGTTAATGTAAGTGACCCGCCTTAGCCTTGTCACTACTTCGTCGAGGTTAGGGTCAGCACTTACCAGTACATAGGGTCGGTTGTACTGATACTACACTCTGCACTTCTTGTGCAGATTTCGGAGTTGGACCTAGCGGCGTACCATAGACTTGCTCGGATTTCAGCTACTCGAAGGAGACTGGAGGTATAATTGTACAGCGTCCGCAGTACTGAAGTCCCTGCCTATTTTACTTTAGCTGTATGTTTGTTTTCAAACAGCTTTATTTTTATTCAGACTTTTATTTATATTTATTCTAGAAGCTCGTGTACTTGTGACACCAATTCTATGATGGTATTTAGATACCGTTGTTTTTATGGATTATTCACTATATTTCAAAATTTACTTCCGCAATTGTTCTTTGTTATTGAAAAATTTAAAAATTATTTTAAAAAAACAATGGATAATATTATTCTAATGTTGGCTTGCCTAGCAAGTGAAATGTTAGGCGACATCACGGTCCGGAGGTGGGAATTTCGGGTCGTGACATTTGGTATCAGAGCACTAGGTTACATAGGTCTCACGAGTCACGAGCAAGCTTAATAGAGTCCGAAGGGTCGGTACGGAAACGTCTGTACTTTTCTCTCAGAGGCTATGAAGTTTAGGAACAATATCACTTCTTTCATTCCTTATCGTGCGCATTGATTTTTCTCGAAACCTATATCTCGTATTCCTTTGTATCCACTCGTATATGACATTGCGCACTTAGTATCAGTTGTGCATCGACGGTTCGTGATGCCGCAGATGAACTTAGAGGGAGCCAGATATGCTCAAACATTGCCTCAACGTGTGGTTCCGACTGACGATGCAGACGTATTAAGAGATCACCCAGTGAATCATATGGGGGTGCAACGGACCTGGCATTTGGTTGATTTATACGAGTTGTGAAGGTTAATATTGTGGATCATCGGACGTGGTGAACTATGACATCGCGCCTAGTGGGGGAGTCTACTATCAATGGATGGATTGTGGGGTCATGTATTATATCAGTTTTGGCCTGAAACGTATATATGAGGTACTGAAAGGTTCTCCAAAATTAATACATGTTTAAGACCTGAGATTTTATAGAGGATAAGGTTGGGACTTGCGGTATGTCCGCCTACTTAATAATCATATACTTCAGTACCAAAGGAGTTAGAGAAATAACTTTTTCAGAAAGTCTACTTAGTGTGGACATTATGGTTGCGGATTTT